TTACCGTTAGTAATTAATAAATTTTAACAATAGATAAGTTTTGTGAATGAAACGTTTTATGTAAGATTAGTTACTCTGTCTACTAAACTGTAAAGATAGCTAGCTCCCTTTAGTGATAACAAATGATGAGAATTAAATTATATGAAGCGACCAGCGTGAATACTTTCGTGATAACAGTTTGTGATGATGTTGTTTTTTCTTATTAGAGTGTTCTTCAAATAATAATTAATTGAATAATTTCTTTTTTTTTCATCGTGAATTCTAGATGTTCATTAAAGTTGATAAAAATTTTCAATAATAAGACCATTTGCGTTCCAGATAGCAATTTTCAGTTTGTTTATTGCATCATTTAATTGATTAGTACAATTAACAACTTGAACATTGTGTCCATTTTTTTATATCAATCGTTTCATCATACGTTTGAGTCTATTGTTATTTTCATCACTCGTATATTTACTTGTGTCTGTTTGAACAGTTGTTTGTTTTGATATTTCTGTTTCACTCTGGTAATTTTGTTTAAATACATTAACATGATATTGAATAGAATAATTGTCAACGAACAATAAAAATCCAAAAGATTATTTTCCGAAATTTTAAAAGATATAAGGTAAAAGCACCTATTATGGAACAAACTAGAATTTGGGTTCTATTATGGAACAGTCAAATAATTAATAAGTTTATTAATTAATTGATCGTTATTAAGTACTCGGCCAATTAATTAGTATAACATATGGTTACATTAAATTTGTGAAATATCAGTAAAGTTTTATAAAATCTATGATTTTACGATGAAAAAAAAAATATATGCAATGTTATGTTTGAAACGCATATGATACCATTGTTTGAGAGTCGAAAACGGCTTCAAGTGCTTGTATTGATAACTCCTAAATTTAACGAAAAAAATTGTTCTATGAGACCAAATCAATTTTTTTTATGTTAAAAGACATTAAAATATACTTAAAACTCAATTTAGGTTGAGAATTACATAATTTATAATTTTATTACACCAGTGTTTCACAATAGGATCCTCATTTTTGAATAAGTCTCCAATATTTGGAACGTTCGGTCCGCGTTCCATAATTGGAACCTCCCACCACTCAACGGCCGACTAGTATTACGGCACATGTTTTCATTTTGCATTCCAGCATAGAATTATATTAAATCTAATTATTTTGTGATCCGAGAGTTCTGATTTTGTTTAAATAATATATATTTATTGTCTTTTTCATATAAAGTTTGAAGTAAGTATAAATTTCTATAATTATTTTAGCAAATCTTCTCAGCTAACCTCAAATTAATGCATTCTTTACTCATTCCCATCTTATTTTTGTACTTCTTTAAATAGGTACTTAATTATTAATCATATTTTAGGGATGACTTTATAAAAAAAACGCAGAGTGAGTGATGGTAGTCCTGAAAAAAGGCGAAAAAAAAGTCTAAGATTTACCACCACAAACCTGAAGTTAAAATCGCCAAAAAAGGTTGCAACACTAAGAAGTTGATTTCTTTACAGAAAAGAAACACAAATGTTACAAAGCATATTGTAAAATGACTCTTGAATAAAAGCAAAAAATTCAAGTCTAACAAAGGAATTTCTATCAAGAAAAGATTGAAAAAAGATGATGGATGTATAAAAGTAAAGAGTAGAGTGTTGAAAGGTGGGACTGTTTGTGATACGAAAACAAAAGAAAGTTAAGAAGAAAGAAATATTCTCTCGAAGCTTTGGAAAATGCTATTAAAACTATTACACAAGAAGGCAAACCACTTAGAGAAACAGCACTGAGGTATGGTATTCTAGTATCGACACTCTGTAGAAAAGTGAAAAATCCAGAGTTGTTAAAACAAAGTGGTCCTGGTACGGTACTATCTAAAGAAGAAGAGGATGAGATATAGTGCAATGGATTATTCACAAGGCTCGATGTGGTTCACCGGTGACAAAAACAGAATTATTTGATTCTATTAGAGACTCTTTACATTCACAGAATAGAATCACCTTTTTTAAAAATAATCGTCCTGGTAAGCATTGGTTTAAAAATTTTAGAGCTCGCTATTCTAATATTTCCATAAGAATAGCCCAAAGCTTAAATCTTGCAAAAGCAACAGTCAATGAAGATAGCCTTAGGAACTGGTTTAGTTCTGTGAAATTATTCTTAGTAGAAAAAAATCTAATTGATATTCACCCTTCAAGAGTATTCAATTGCGATGAATCCAGTCTATATATAAACTCACATGATGACACTGTATTAGCTGAAAAGGGAGCCAGAGCCGTGTACCAAGTAAGTGATGGTTCTGAAAAAGAATGTTTGACAGTGCTTTTCATGTATAGTGCTGATGGCACTAGAGGACCACCGATGGTATTGTATAAGTATAAGAAAGACTTGCCAAAAGCGCTTGTAACAAATCACCCTGAAGACTGGGGCATTGGATTATCCGAAAGTGGATGGATGAACACAGAGACTTTCTACGAGTATGTAACCAATATTTTCTACCCATGGTTACTTAAAAAAACAGTAGAATTTCCAGTGCTTTTGTATATGGATAATCATACATCCCATTTGACTCTACCTCTGTTAAGATTTTGTAAACAGCATCAGATAGAAATTGTTGCTTTGTACCCTAACTCAACACATAATCCAGCCTTTGGATATCTCATTCTTTCGACCTATGAAAGTATATTATAAAAAAATCAGTGCTGAATGGAAATCAAGAAATGAAGCTCAGAAGTTATCCAAAATAAATTTTGCTACGATGTTGAAGGAAAGTTTGGATGCATTCACACAAGAAAAAACGGCAGTCATCAATGGTTTTTCATCTGCAGGATTAGTACCTTTCAACGCAGATGCTGTAGATTATAGTATTTTCAATAAAAAAAGTAAAAAAACAAAATTGAAATCAAGCCAGACACAGCCAACTAAAGAAGCAATTTCCAATCCAATCAACGTGGAAGAAATAGCATTGAAAGTTTTTGAAGATAAGCTTCCATTAGAATTATTATTTCAATTTCAAGACTGCGAAGAAAGTAAAGTATGGACAGGAGATTCGCGCTATATTGCCTTATTTGGAATGTGGTTATCTTTGAAAGGACATACTGGTACTTTTTACTTTTGTGAATGTATTTGTTTACAAGTATTTATGCATTTTTTTTCTATTCGATATTTTATATTTTATATTCACACATTCATATTTTTATTACATGAAACTTTTAATTAACTTTTAATCAATTTATGATAAATGTTTTTTTTGAGATATATTGATTCTTAAAAAATGTTATAATCAAAGTGCAATCAATTTTTTTTAAATATAATCTTACACTCTATTCAATTTCGAATAATCTATCGTAGACGACGCACTCATTGAGTTAAAATCTGAGGAAAATTCAAAGCCAGAGAAAAGCTCTAAAAATATTATTATTAAACAAATACATTTATTGGAAGAAGATGAACATGTAAAAATAATAAGAGAGCCTCCCCGAGATCACATAGATGATAAAAATATTAACAACTCTACATTGAATGACTATGAACAGAAATTAGATGATACTTCATTTGAAATGCCAGAAAAAATGCTAGATAATAGCTTGAATTCAGAACCACAAGTTCGAGAAAATTCTAACTTTGATTATTTTGATGAGTCCCATTGCACTGATTACATGATGCTGCCTTATTGCATAGATCAGATCCTGCACTGAACTTAGACAAGTCTAATTCTAATTTGAACGTATTAGACATTCCAGTGGACATACTTTTAGACAATGGAGCAGTGATCAATACATTAACCACTCTAAATAATAAAAGTGATAATTTAACTGAGACAGGTACAATTTTTTCAATCTTTTATGTAACAAACTTTTTGGTAAAAACTTATAGATATAACAATTGTTATTTCAATTGCAGGTCAAGTTCACAGTATTGAAATTTTGGTAGCTGAAGGAGACAAAAATGAAAATTTTGGGCATTCATTTTTACCACCATTATTAAACATAAAAAAAGAAAGATATGATCAAGAAAAGAAAAGAACTTCAACAGGTACATTAAAAATCTAACTTTATTTATTCATTTATTTTTTTATTTTTGAATTGTTTTGACTAAAGTATGCTCTTTATTATTTAGAAAACGTATTACCAAAAAGCAATGATATTCCAGTGCATGTAACTAATAATTTAAATGAACAGCTAGATGCAATAGGGTCTGATGTGGAAAGTCAAGATTTTACGATCAATTCTTCAGTACCACAAGAAAATATTCCAGGTAATAATTTTATAATAAATGAAATTTACTATCTGTATGTATCTATATGCGTTTATATGAATAATATTATTTACAGGTACAAACGAAAATGTTATAAACAAGGAACATTTTCAAACTGCCTTCAAACAGAATATGAAATGTCCTGCATCACATCTTTCAAAAAGTGGCCGTAATCGTCTTGCTAAAAAAGGTACTCAGCAAATTCAAGTAGCAGGGACCAGTAACGAATTTTTAAGGCAATTGGATGAAAAAGAAGAAAAGCGGAAAGAGAAAGAAGAAAAGGCAAAGAAGAGAGAGGAGCTCATGAATAGAAAAAAAGAAATTCAAGCACAACTTGACGCTTTAAAGGAACCTCGTAAGCCAAAAGTCTCGATGAAAGATAAGCAAGATTAAAAAAAACTGCATTGTAAACATTTCTAAAATGTTATGATTGTTTAAAAAATATTTTGTACGAAAAAGTTTAGTTTGTTTAATGTTATTTTATAAAAAATAAAAAATTCTATCTATCAATCGTATTATCCAGATCTTGTTATTAAATTTCTTACGTAATTTCTTTTTTTTTTCAAGATGTATAAAGAAGTATAAATTTACAATCGCAAAAAAAACATTTCATGATTGATTTTAACAACTACTGATAATATAACTTAATATAAATTTATACTTTTATAATATGATTTAATATAAATTTATAAATTCAAACTTGTTTTATGTCGTTCCATAATAGGGTCCGAACGTTCATGGAACAGAGGTGCCAGTGGTGAAATGCCGTTCCATAATAGGAGACTCCACACCAGCCACATTTTTATTTATAACAATTTTTAAAAAAATCGTATTTAATTTTTAAAAGTTTCCCTGGATAGCTGACACGGAGGCCCCCAGATTAATAAAAAAAATTGAACATTCGATGATTTTTGAGCTGCTTAGCAGCTGTGCCATAAAAATAGCCTTAAAATTGTTCCATAATAGGTGCTTTTACCTTATATATCGTAAAAAATAACATGAACAAACAGAATAAAACTTAAAACTAGCTACAAACATACGATTATAAACATGTAAAAACAAATTGAAAATCCACTACCAAGATATTATTTGCATTTCTTACAGAGTAGCAAGTAGTAGAAACTAACATACGGGAAGAAATTAGCATGTTAAGATATCTTCTAACCGTCAAGTTGTCTTGGTTGTACTCTGACTGACGTTCTACAGAAGTTTCGTACTATTAAGTCTCTTCTTCGACATCCGACTTCCCCTTTCATTCCGATATTATAATATCTGTTTCAGCAGGAATACTCACGAAAATCTTGATCTCATCTCATTATTCTAGCTTGGCATATGAAATTAACATTGATTCTTATATTTAACGATTCATGTTAGAAGCGACGGTAATATTTGAAAATTACGCTAATATTTGATTGATTTTTAGGATTAGACAAATTCAATTTGTAATTATTCATTCAATGTTTAAGTTTGTTTCTTCTCCTCAACCTTTAGAATGGTAAATTAAAGTAAGTCACCAAAACTTTAACAAACTTTTCAGATAAATTTAGCCCGTAAAAATCTCGAGGGGAAAGTCTTTTAATTACCTGAAAATCCCATTAAGTTTGAAACATAGTCTTTTACTATTAAGTTCATAAAAAGAGTCAAGAAAATCAATCCGCAATAAATTTGAGTTTTGAATATAGAAAGCACCTATACATACTTAGTTTTATAATACAGGTAGAGTATCGAATCGGCTATCTCAATGGAATCTTTTATGAATTTTTTTTTTAATTCCGGGAAAATGTTTTTTATTTTTATGATACCTCAAATTATGTGAACAATAGTAATTTCATCAAAACTTTTGTCACCATTATTAGTAAAATTATTATAATAATCTGATATTTTTATTGCCATATAAAACATACAATGCATTTTAATCGAAAGCTAATGTAAGTAATCTTTTACAATGAGACTCTTGATAAATTAATAAAAATTTTTAAAAAAGATATTGTCTACAATTATTTGCTCCACATTTACAGCGGATCCGACCATCAATAGTATTTTCATTACTAGACTTTCCTTTTAAACCGATTCTACAACGGAATGGGTCATCTTTGTTTGTTTGACATGTATAATCAAATGTGATTTCTTCGTTTTGTTTGATGTCTCTTGTTGCAAAAAGAGCAAGTTTAGGAAGATTTGGATCCAAACAGTTTATCCAAACAGCGTAGACAGCTAAATTGGGATCACAAGAATGATTAATAAAATGTGATACGTTTCCATAAATAGCGGCGTCAACTGTATATGGACATTGTTCTTCTGTTTCATTATAATCTAGATCAAAAAGATATGTCCTTCCGGCAGCGTCATATTTTTTTCCACGTCTTTCAGCTTCTTCGTTAGTTATAACTTCACCAACATATTGAATAACAAAAGTTCCTTTCTTTATGATACGTGATGTTTTGACACCCCATCCCCTTCCATTATTTGTTCTAAAGACGCATAATTTCATTTGAGAACCACGTTGAACAACACGATTTGGACATTTTTCAGAACATGTGCAACGTTTATTGCATTCGTATATAGGAGTTCCAGGTGGTACACGAATTCTGCAAGCAGACGTATACGGGAAACTCCCATCACACATAGCGTAACAGCATTTACTTTTTGAATCACATGTAGAGCATTCGCAACCAATGGGAGGTTCTTCAGGTATGATGACATTCAAACCAGGTAAGTAATCGTCAATATACAGAAATTCTGGAGGTGCTCGCTCTAGATCGACTACATTTTCCACTTTTATAAGAGGCTTGCCAGCCGTGATGCTATTCATTTCATTTTCCCACTCCGCTAAAGATGCCAGCTGCTCAGCTCTTGCATTATAAACTAACATGTGTAAAATATGTTCTTTAATATTGTCAACTAATTGTTTTCTCTTACTAGGATTAGCATTGAAAAATTCATTAATTTTTTCATACAAATAATCTGTATTGGCTAAAGAAGAATCAATAACGTTACCACTTGAAAGTATATCTTGCATATGTTTTTCAATAGTAATTAAATTAGGATAAAAATTAGTATGTTTCTGAAACATATCTAATGATTTCAAACGTCCTTCTTCAAATTCTTTCAATAATTCAGCACAGTTAGTTAAATTGTGCACTGGTTCCCATGTACTGAATTCAGGGCTCCAATTTTTCCATTTTATTAAATAGAATATGTTATTATTTTCGGATTTTTTTCCTAAAAATTTTTCTACTTCATATATATTTTCACACTTCGATGCCTTTCGATCACGTCTACGATTTTTTTGAAAATCTTCTAGTTTAATGCAAACCTCTTTATATTTTGTGCACTTGCTCAATGAATCTGTTAGAAGTTTGCTTTCATTTTCAAAAGACTGAGAACGATTCAAGTTTTTGCCAGGTAAAGACTTATTGCATTCTTCTGCGATATTTGAGATGGATTCTCGGCTAGCTTGTTGACCGTATAGTGATTCCTGCATGTCCAAATCGCTATGTTTGCTTATTCGGTTAGTTTCCATAATTCTAGGTTGTTTAGCAGATGGATGGCAATGTATTGGAGAGATTGATCGTTTACCACATTCTACAGATGAGGTTGCAAGATTTGATGGGATTTCTAATTTCTGGTCTCGACTACTATCAGCGGCACGTATATCTGAAACATAAAAAATAACGAATTTATTAATTAACAAATATAAACATGTAAAGCCAAATTATTCACGTAAACTAAAATTCGTTCTACCCGTCAATTCCCTATTTCTCAATATAAAATGGAGTAGAACAGTCGCGCATTTTTCCTTGAGTTATATAGCAACATACAAGTGCTGGGCCCGTTCTTTTGCCGACCCTGAGGCGAAATATGCCAAATTTTTAAATTTTATATCTCAGCGAAAAAGAGTCGTAAAACTAAAAACTTGACGCCATTTTAAATGTAATAGCAAAAGCTTTAAGTATCGTGAAGAATATTGTTTGTACTAGAATTAAGTTTTTTATGCTTAAAAAATGAACATGAAAAATTTCTTTTTTTTTGCCTATATACGAGTACAATGCAACGGTAGTCGATTCGATTAATCGATCCGTTCGCGATTCGGTACACTCGCGATGTTAGTTCAAACGACTAAGAGAGAGAGAGAGAGAGAGAGAGAGAGAGGGCGCGCGAGAGTTTGAAAATAGTCAGTTAAGTATCAGCTGCTTTTGAAATAGTACCGCCATATATTTTGCACAGTGTTTCGCCGTTTTTTACAAAGTTTTCCTAGGATATTTTGATACGTGCGAGTGCAGTGAGGAAGCTAAGCAGCAGAAGATAGTACTAGTCAGGCAGCGCAGCTGATCAATCAGGAGGAAACCGTTGGCAGAAAAAAATTCTCTTTAAGATTACGGCTGATCACCCTAATTGCACCGCAAGGTAGGTACACCTCCCTTATATTGAGCGACAAAATACGAGCGAGAGTATTTTGTCTATCGCGAGCGTTATTTTTTTGTATTCGTGCTGAGCTTTAGATTTCGCGGCAAAGTTCGAGTTCTCTCTCTCTCTCTCTCTCTCTCTCCCTCTCTCTCTCTCTCTCTCCCTCTCTCTCTCTCTTTCTTACCGTATTATTATCAATAATTGTAAATCCTATTCGCGTGCGTTAGTCTTTCGGCCCGTAAAAGACTGTAATTTTTAAATTAAACATTATTAATTTTATTCACCGTGTTACGTGATTTCATTTCCTAATAGTTTAATAGATCTATAAAGGATTAAGTTTTAATCCGATTTCATCTAGGATTAGTCGGATTAAACATTAGGTCACTCACACCTAAGATAGATCGAGTGTCACAAGTCAAGTGACTTAAGGTGAGTTCAACTCGGTTGGAAAGAAGACACTGAAACGAAAGTATTAAACGTAAAGGCGAATACGCGTATAACTATACGTGTTTAACGGAATGGCGGTTAGCTCTGCATCGTGGGAGTTTGTGCGATAATAAATCCCCATTGTACTAGATATCCTCCCCGTTACAACAAATTTATTTATTTGCTACGCAAATCAGCGGATCATTAAAAATCCAATAAAAATTAAAAGATGGAATGTTCATCTTTAAAATATGAGTGACAGAACTCATTTCTGATTTTTTAATAAGGAGATATAGCTATTTTTATAAAAAAATCATTTTTTTGTTTCATCAGCTCATATCTCGATTGCTATGCATTAAATACAAAAAATTTAAAAACAAAAGTTTTTTCTTTTGTGGTAAAGAATACAAAAATAAAGTGAAAACTAAAATCTGGAACAAATTTTTTTCATTTTTTCACGCTTGCCAATTTTATTTTTCATATTATTTATTTTTTATATTAAAACCGTCAAAACTTTCTATTGTGTTTTTGCCCTTTGTCGATCAAAAGTTTTTTGGTTTTGATACGTGCATGTGTGTGAGAGCAAGGTGCGAGAAAAATAGCAGCGTTAGCTAGCAGCAGCATTGCACAGAGCAGCACCCGTTCCCGGTGACTGAGGCAGCGCAGCAAGTTCTCCAGGAGCTCCATTAACTTGGCTAATAAACGGTTACGACTGATCACCGTAACCGCACCGTAGGGTAGGTGCACCACATTAATTTTCGTGCGACTTTAATAATTCCGCGCGTTTATTTGTAAGCGACCGTTATTTTGACCGTTAATTTCATGTGCGGAGTGAGTTCAAAAATCATCCCTCAAATCCACGTTTAGTATTGTTCGCATAAATCTACTTGTCTGTATAAGTTATGTTTGGTAGAAAGTAAGCAATTACGTAGAAGTCTGACGTCTGCATAAGTCGGTGTAATGTCGGCATAAGGATGATTTGACGGTGATGTGTTCCCAAAAGTATGGATTGAAGAAAATTTTATAACGAGTGAAAAATTTCTCGTAATGTCTCTTTCTGTTATTCTATTATTTTGTATTAAATACTAAATATACATTTTCACAGCGAGCACAAAAGATAAGTGAGAAAGTGAATGGAAGAGAGACACTTTACGACTAGCGCGATCACGTGATCACATGAAAAAGAATTTCGATGTGACACAAAAGTACACACCAGGACTCTTTAGTTGCGACAGTCGACGGAACACCTCGTGCACTACGCTTTTCTTATTTGCTGGTGATCACCTAGATGAATTTGGGAGGTGACTTCGGAGTGTCTTGCAAGACACCGAATTCGGCGCGATTTAACATTGCGGCCACTCGTATCCAAAGAGACAATAACTGCCTGTAGCAAGACTCCAGCGTCGACCAGCGCTCGCGTGTTGTAGGTACCAGCGTTCATTCCGTCACTCTACCCCCCCCCCCCCTCACCAATCTAAAGCTACTACTCGCTTTCTCCCTCTAACTAGCTGTATCGCTTTCTGTAACGCTTGGTTTATTAAATGGTTGAAACCGTTCATGCCGCCTCTTTATTTAGTTAATCCCCTCCCGAAGTTATCATATTCACGCGACCTGCCACAATTTGCGTCCAGTATTGAACAGATGATGATCAACCCCAGTTCTAAGTTAGGAGACCTTCACAAAAGTTAAGCTGAGCAGAGCCGACAGTACTTCGTAAATTCGTTCCGATTTACTCCTTCTGCCGGTGTAACCGTAATCTTTATGTCAGCCGAGTCGATGTGCAATCGAAACTTCATTATAAAAGTAAACAGATTATTGAATACTGCAATTAAATTTGAACCACCACATGTTAACACGCTTTAATGATATAATTATCAAGAACCCGGACTTACTAAAAATTATTGCGATAAAAGTTCAATTTGTGTAAAAAGCGTAAAATAACACGCAACTAAAGATTGTTCAATTAAAGAAAAAATTAAAGGTGTAAAGTGCGCAATTTACGAAGAAAACCACATTGTAAATTACATAGGATGTCCAGTTCGCAAACAGCTGCAACAAAACTTATTTCTTAGATTAAGAGAGAAAACCTCAACTGAAAATAGTTATCGATCTAACTTAATTATAAATACAAACAAAGTCAGATAAAACAAGTATTCACTTAAGTAAGGGCAAAAAAACGAACAAAGCGAGAGAGATTGAAGTAAAAATAAATAAATATACAGGCAAAGCCAAATACACACACCAATAACGGAAACACAAATAAACTTGAACATATAGCAGAGCAGTTAATGCAAAGGTTGGATACTATGTTAAGCCTATTAGCAGTATTAGTAATGTATAATTTTAAATTCGTTCTCTGGAAGGTAAATAGAATTATGCAGAGATACCTTGAATTAAGAATATTTATTTAATCAATATTTTTATCGATGAAAATATTGATATCATGTTAATATCGGAAATACACTTTACGAGCAACAGTTATCTCAACATTCCAAATAACACTGTACACAAAACAAATCACCCACACAATAAAGCAAACGAAGGCACTGCAATTATAATCAAAACAAAAATAAACGATTACGACTACATGCACTTGTGAAATTTATTTTTAAGCAACTAGTTTAAACATAAACGATATTAAAGGCTCGACAACAATATCAGCTGTTTGTTGCCCCTCGACAAAACAATAACAGAAGTGTAATGTTCGTATCACTTATAATATAATTAATAGTTCGTACTCTCGTGGTCTTGTCGCGTTAATGAGTAAGAATTCGTTTCTTTTCAAATTTACTTTAACTGTGTAAAGGGGGGGAATTTATCCTCGAAAACATAGCCAAGTGCGCCACTGCTATGCCCCGTGCGAGTTAATAAAGGGTCCTTTTCCGGTGAAAGAAGCCGGCGCTGACTTCCACGGGAGCGAACCTACCGCGATGACGGGAAAGGTGAATAGAGAGAATCGGTATGATTATAAAGAGGCGATCCCTTTTATTTACGCCAACAAAAGTACATCTACGAATATAAGTACAAAGGCGGTGAGCGCGTTCGCTCAATCCTCCAAACGCGACAGCAGGCGGCGACTAGGAGCGTAATCGCTCAACTATCATACGCGGCGAGTGTATAACATTTAGGAGCGAATTCGCTCAACTAACAATCGCGACAATTCGATTCGCGGCGTTGTACCGGGCGAGAGCTGGTACGTGAGAGAGAGTCGCGGAATAGAGATGTAACAAACCCACCGGGTGGCTCCTCCCGCGGCTCGCTGGTGGAGAGCCGGCGACGGCGAAACCGCAGTCCTGCCGGCAGAGGAGATCGTCGGATCACCGGCGGCGGCTGGTTGGCAGCTGGCGGCCGGGATCGGCTCCTCAGGCGTCGGATGATGATCGCCGGGAAAGGCTGCTCGAACAGCAGCCGAAGACTCTAATCCGAAAACTCTATCTCTCGTCTTGGGATGTCTTTCTCCTGGCGCGTGTCCTAGCGTATCTCGCGCCGTGACCTGATTAGCGTACGGTCACTCTCTCACTGTCCTCAATCTCTCCCGCTCTCTTAATTCTCGCGGCGCGAGCCGCGCTTTCCGCGTTCTCGCCCATTCCTCTTCTTCTCTCGCTCTCTCTCACGCTCTTCGCGCTCTCGCTCCTTCTCGTGCCGTCTTCTCCGCCAGCCGCGCTCTCCCCTCTCCAGGCCCTGCAACGACACGAGCGCGTGAATGCTATGTTAACCATAGCCACGCTCGGCCGCTACATCCGTGCGAGGAGAGTGCCGCGCACAGGGTTAGCTAACATCGCTATCAGCCCTGTCACAACTGTCAATATGAAATAAATCGATAA